GTTGAACCATCCCTGCATACCTGGTATAAATCCCACTAGATCATGGTGAATTATTTTTTGACATAACACCTCATTTCCTAAAGTACTTTCACCGGCACCCTCTTTATAAGCCTCTTAGATGGTCATTCACCTTTGAAAGAGTTTCTTTTAAAAAAATGCCATGCTTTATTAAAGTTTTGAGAGCAAAATGCCAGCTAATTCATAGGGGACCTACTGATGGGGGCACTTCAGAGGTGGCTGTATGTGAAACTGATAATATAATCTCCCTCTCTTTAAATTTTTTGAAGTTCCAAGAGGTTTCTCCTAGACAGTTGCCTTCTCTTCCTGCTGTTGGAAATACAGATGTCATGTCGACACAAAAGAACGCTGAACACCAAAGTAGAGATGTCGGTGCATCTGTGAGCAGTTCGAGGAGCAGTGAGGGCTCATCATTAAAGGTTTGTGGGAGTATATGTTGGACTCTTAAACCTTCTCGTAAAGCTTTTTGGTTGTGAAATCCTATGCTTGTTGTGAAGTTTTATATTAAAACGTCTTAGCCCTGCTTTTTGCCAAACACTGGAGGGACAAATTCGTGATTCTCAGCAAAAGCTTTGATTGAAATGGACAGATTCTGTTGTTCCAGGGCTGGTCACTTCCACTAGAATTGCAGTTAATTAAGGAGAGGTAGATTCTAAATACAGGAAATGCAAACTTCCCCATTTGCCCTCCCAGAAATGACTGCTTCCCAGAAATGAGGGCTGTGATCTTTCCTAGCCAGTGGCTGTACTGCCGGTGTGGACTGGTTTAAAATGCACACTCCTTTAAAGGCCAGTGCAAGGCCTTTTCTGTAGTGCTAGATGATACTTCCCGTGTTGCCCATGTTCTAAGAATGGTAAGTAGGAATGTAAGTGACTCCGTGACTTTCTTTGAAAGGATCGACCATTATCAGCAAGAGAGAGGAGGCGACTAAAGCAGTCCCAGGAAGAGACGTTCCCCTCAGGTAAAGTTGTCCTCTTCCCTTTACCTCTTGGGGGTTGATGGTGTGGCTCGTGGATATGTGTGCTGGTTCTGATAACAACAACAAAAAAAAAAACCCCCGTTGCTGTCGAGTAGATTCTGACTCACAGCGACCCTATAGGACAGAGCAGAACTTCCCCATAGGGTTTCAAGGCTGTAATGTTTATGCAAGCAGACTGCAACATCTTTCTCCTGTGGAGCTCATGGTGGGTTCAAACTGCCGACCTTTTGGTTAGCAGCCCAGCGCTTAACCACTGTGTCACCAAGGCTCCTTATAGAGAGGGGTTAAGAATTTTCAGGCATCAGTAATCTATTTGGGAAACCTATTTGGAAGAGTTTTTGAAATTTCTTAGTGAAGCCTTTAAAAAAAATCAACATAGGCTGTTGGATCTGGAACATGTATCACCAGAGGAAGAGGATACTAGAAAGAGAGCAGTGACTCCTAGGAGGTTTCAGACTGGAAACAAAGTGAGAGTTTAACTTGTTTCCGTGTCCTGAGTCTGCTGGCAAGGGAAGTGCTCTCTTCTCAGGAGCAGAGAGAGAAAGGGGGGGATGGTGCTGCCCTGGGTAGAGGGCTGTGATCATTCCTAGTACTATTATCTAAAGACAGTACTAGCTCCCATTGCTGTCAAGTTGATTCCAACTCATAGTGAGGCTATAGGACAGAGTAGAACTGCTTTATAGGGTTTCCAAGGAGCAGCTGGTGGTTTCTAACTGCCAGACTTTTGGTTAGCAGCCATAACTCTTAACCACTGCACCACCAGGGCTCCATACTAGCTCTTTATATTCATTTAATGCTGACTATATCTCAGGCATTATGGCAAACATCTTAAGGGCATTCTCTCATTTCATATTTATGTAATTGTCAAAGGTAGGCAGTATAATCATCATTTTGCAGCTAAGGAAACTGAGGCTCAGAGAGGTTAAGTAACTTGTCCAAGGTCACAGAACTCGTAGAACTAGAGCTAGGATTTTAGCTGAGGTGTCAGACACCAGAGTGATGATGAGTATCTTGTCTGTGTTACCTCTGGGCTAGATCTTGCTGGTGTCTTCCATACCCAGTGCAAAGCCTTCAGTTGAGGCCAACTCACCACAACCAGCCACTGAGGTGATTGCTTTTTCAGGCCCTTCAGTGAGGAGAGCTTCTCTGAGTGCAGTGGGGCCAGGGAAACCTCAGGAGGAAGGCCAGCCTATCCCTGCTAAACGATTCTCCTCTGACTGCAGCATTGCTCAGGTACATCATAGGCTCCTAAGGGAAAAGGCGGACATGTCTGCATCTGGCAAGCTTAATACATTTACCTGTTGCTATCGGGTCAATTCCAACTCATAGCAACCCTATAGGACAGAGTAGAACTGCTCCATTGGGTTTCCAAGGAGCGGCTGGTGAATTCCAACTGCCGACCTTTAGGTTAGCAGCTGGGCTCTTAACCACTGTGCCACCTGGGCGCCGATTAATACAGTAAACCTTGTAAATGCCAGCTCCATTTATTTCTGAGACAGGGCTGGCTTAAGTTTCGCCTTTCACTCTTGGTGAGGAAAGGAACTGGTAAATAATAATTAAAGGGATTATGTTTGACCCAGTAAGTGGCTGAATTTTTCAGACGCTTATGAACAATTGGTAGGCTAGCTAAAAATATTTCTTAGGTGGTATATCTTTGGCTATGTGTATTTTCACCAAAAAAAAAAGGTTGAGAAGTTAGAGGGTTGACATGTTGTGGGGTTGTTAACCAATGTCATAAAACAATATGTGTACTACTGTTTCATGAGAAACTATTTGTTCTGTAAGCCTTCACCTGAAGTACAATAAAAAAAAAAAAAAAATTAAAATTAAATAAAAATATTTCTTAGGTCATCTTTAAAACAAGACTTCCTAAGGGCCTCCACTAGGCAGCACTTTTCTTTATTCTGCCATGTTACCAATAAATCCGTCTGCCTGGCCAGATTTTAGTCTGACTTGGTGTTTATTCCTGTTTCATGTTTGTGTCAAAGTAACTCACCTTCTCTCCTGTGCTTGATACCGGGTCACCATCTGGTAGCTACGTGGGGAACTGCAAGGTTTCCAATGCTTGTTCGCTTTTCTGTGTAATAATACCTGGGGATAATCATCCATTTTTCTGTATTCTGGTTTCTGACATTATTAATAGAAGCATATTGTTATTTTAAAAATAGGGACTTTCTGCCCTTGAAAGTAATGAAGATTCGTTTCTTTAAAAATGTTTTATTATTTAGTTGTTCACTAACTGAGATTACCCTTTTATCTTCCAAATTTGTAAGATTTGTGTGTAATCATATCAGATAGTCCCTAAAAGCAGTTTAACCTTAATTTAGGTGCCATTGGATCTAGTTTAAAATGCTAGTATTCTTAATGGTCATGCCTCTGACTGGGAGGTGGAATACCAGAACTTTCTCTCCTGGAAAGGAAATTTCTTCACAGTTGAGACTCTCCAGGGCCTTATAAAACTCTGCCTTGATGTTCCTCAGGCTTCACTTGTGAACTTTCTGGGTGAACTGGGTATCATTTGGGTAAAGTAGCTTCAATTTTTATATCCATTAATTTCTCCTGTTAAATTGCACCTAGATGCACTTTGTGTCTAGACATTGCGTCTAAGACTTTCACGTATTACATTTTGGTTGTGTTGTCATGTGGAACTTTGTTTCTGTAAACATTACTAGGAAAAGAAACTGATCCATTGTCTGTCTGAGGAGGAGTTAAGTTCTTCTGCAAGTTCAGCTGATAAGTCAGATGGGGATTCTAGGGAAGGGTAAGTTCTTGTTTTTCTGTCCCCCTTCATAAACTATTTGTTTGAATTAATCCCAAATGTACATTTACAGTAGTATTCAGACCTGCAGTACTTTCACTGATAGCATCGTAAATGGTTTGTGGTATATGCTAGAGCCAGAAAAATCTCTTCTAATGAACACATCTGATTTTCAATCGGAGTTCTTACAGAATATCTTCTTAGAACTGTGGGTTTATCATTTTCATCAGATTTTGGTAAAATTTTGGCCATTATTTCTTCAAATAATTATATTTTTTACCCCTTCCTACTCCTTTGGGGATTCCAATTACATGTATATTATTGTTGTTAGGTGTTGTCGAGTTGGTTTCCACTCATAGCGACCCTGTGTACGACAGAATGAAACACAGCCTAGTCCTGCACCATCCTCACAATCATTGTTATGCTTGAGCCCATTGTTGCAGCTGCTGTGTCAGTCCATCTCTCTGAGGGTCTTCCTCTTTTTTGCAGACCCTCTACTCTACCAAACATGATGTCCTTCTCCAGGGACTGGTCCCTCCTAATAACATGTCTAAAGTGTGTTACACAAAGGTTGGCCATGTATATTAGGCTGTTTAAAGTTGTCCCGTAGCTCACTGATATTGTGTTCATTTTTTTAGACTTTTTCTTCTGTTTCATTTTTCATAGATTCTATTGCTATCTCTTCAAGTTTGCTAATATTTTCTTCTGCATTGTCTAATCTGTTGATCTGATCCCATATATTTAGCACATTGTACTTTTCATCTCTAGAAGTTTGATTTGGGTCTTTTTTATATCTTCCGTGCTTCTTAACATGCACATGCTTTCCCCTACATTGAACCTGTGGAATATAGTTACAATAACTGTTTTAATGTCCTTATCTATTAGTTCTGTCACTTTTGTCTCTTGGGTTGTTTCATTAATTGATTTTTTTTCTCTTTACAATGTATGATATTTTCATGCTTTTTTGTATGTCTGTTAATTTTTGACTGGATACCAGACATTGTGAATTTTATCTTATTGGATGCTGGCATTTGTATTCTTTTAAGTATTTTTGAGCTTTGTACTGGGATGTAGTTAAGTTACTTGGAAATGGTTTGATCTTTTCAAGGCTTACTTTTAAGCTTTATGGTGGGACCAGGACAGACTTTAGGGATAATTTTGTCCCTCTACTGAGCCATACCTTTTTAAGTACTCTTCTTTATGTCCTATGTATTACAAAGTTTTTCCACCATGACTGGTGGAAACTCAAACTATTCCTGGCCCTATATGAGCACCAGGGGTTTTTTTCTACCTGTTCCTTTTTGGTGGTTCTTTTCCTTAACTCAGGTGGTTTCTTTATATACAAGCTCTCATCAGTACTCAGCTAAAGACTCAGGGGGTACTTCTGCAGATCTCTGGAGCTCTCTCATTGTGCAGCTTTCTCCTTTGGTACTCTCTGCTGTGCATTTTAGCTATCTTGGCTTCTCTGAATTCTCAGTGCTGTCTCCTCAACTCAGGGAGATTACCAGGCCCAGTTTGCTTTCCTCCTCATTTTTCTGTGTCCTGGAAACTCCCTTCATGCAGTAAGCTGGGGCAGTCAGAGGGTTTACTTCATTTGTTTCCTGTTATGTAGATCACTGTACAGCGTTGTCTATTGTTTAATGTTTGAAAACCATTGTTGCTTCTATTTTGCCTGGTTGTTGTTGTTTCACATGGGAGGGTACATCCAGTTCCTGTTACTCCATCATGACTGGAAGCAGAATCTATCCAATGAATTTTTAACTTTAGATGCTGTATTTTTTCATTTCCAGAATTTCCTTTTTTTTTTTTGTAGTTTCTATTTATCTACTATGATTTCCTTTATTTTCATTGATTATAGAATATTTTCCTTGCTCATTGAGCATAGCTATACTTACAGTAACTGCTTTAAAATCCTTGTCTGTTAATTTCAAAAGTCAGGTCATCTTGGGGTCAGTTTCTGAT